GTGTTCCTCGACATCAAAAGTGCATTCGATTTGGTGGATAGACGTGCACTTTGGAACTGTCTACTCAGGAGAGGTATGCCTGAGAAATATATAAATATTATCCGATCATTATACGCACGTAGCTCGGGCAGAGTGAGGGCTTACGGCAAGTTTTCGTCGCCCTTTAATATCTCCAGCGGTGTGAGACAAGGATGCCCGTTGTCACCTTTCCTCTTCAACTTCGCTGTTGACGAAGTCATGGAAATCGCGTTCACAGGACACGACTTTGAAGGTGTGGATCTGCTCCCAGGAGAACGACCTCTTGACTTAGAGTATGTTGATGATATTACCCTAATCTGTGACAGCTCACAAACGTGTCAGGCGGCACTGGACAGATTAGCACTAGCTGTCCGTCACTTCGGGCTTTGCTTCGCGCCCTCGAAGTGTAAAGCGTTCCTCCAAGATTGGTCTGAAGCGCCTCCTACGCCGGCCGTTGGTGGGGATCAGCTAGAAGTCGTTCAAAAATTCAACTACCTGGGGAGTTGTATCAACGCCCCTGGGATTGTGGATGAGATCACGAACCGTATAGCAAAAGCTCGGGGCGCCTTTGCTAACCTTCGCCACTTATGGCACCGGCGCGACATCACTCTTGCCCTGAAGGGTAGGGTGTACAGTGCAGCGGTACGTTCGACCTTACTGTACGGTTGCGAAACCTGGCCCCTAAGATCGGCGGACATGAAGAGGCTAGTTACGTTCGACCATCGGTGCCTTCGCAGTTTGGCTCACATTTGGTGGGAACACCGCGTGAGTAACGAGCGTGTTCGACGCCTTGTTTACGGCCTAGGAAAAGGGAATGAACCGCTCAGCACCGTCATTTCACGTACCAGGCTCCGATGGCTGGGCCACGTGTTGCGCATGCCAGCCCACCGACTCCCGTGACGTGCGTTGTTTGCTCAGCGGGGATGTGGGTGGAAGAAGAGGAGAGGTGGCCAAGCGATGACTTGGTCCAGAGGAATGAAACCCCTCACTTCGGAACTAGCCTCGATTGGAGCTTCACGGCTCCCTGGTTGGGGTCCAAAAGACGGTGAACACGTTTGGCTGGATACACTTGCTGACATGGCAAGGAGCCGACCTCAGTGGCGTTCGTGCTGGGAGTTTCTTTGTCCCTCCCCATCCCTTTTAGCCTCCCCATCCATCTACGATCTCATTTCGTAGGGTAAAACATTTCTTTTCTTTTTGCCTAGTAGCTGGCTGGTAACTTACCGGAACGATGCCTATCCGTTGCTGGTAGCTCAGCTGGCATGCAACTGTCGTATTTATTTTTTCCTTTATGTACTGTATGTATGTATGTATTTCCTTTATGTATTGCGGTACAATAGCGAATGTGTTTCATCACCTCTAGCTGACATGTATAATGATGATGATGACTGTACGGTTGTGAAACCTGGCCGCTTAAAGCAGCGGACATGAAGAGGCTAGTTGCGTTCGACCACCGATGCCTTTGTAATTTAACTCACTTCTGGTGGGAACACCTCGTGAGCAACGAGCATGTTCGACGACTTGTTTACAGTACAGGAAAAGGAAATGAAACGCTTAGCACCGTTATTTCACGCACCAGGCTCCGATGGCTCGGCCACGTGTTACGCACGCCAGCCCATCGACTCCCGTGACGTGCGTTGTTTGCGCGCTCGGGGTATGGATGGAAGAATAGGAATGAAGGAATGAAGGCCCTCACTTCTGAGCTAGCATTGGTTGGAGCGTCTCGGCTCCCTGGTTGGGGTCCGAAAGACGATGAACACGTTTGTTTGTACACACTTGCTGATATGGCTGGGAGCCGACCTCAGTGGCGTTCGTGCTGTGAGTTTCTTTGTCCCACCCCATCCCTCTTGGCCTCCCTTTCCAACCACGATCTCATTACTTTGCCTTATGTAATTTTGCATATAATTTTTTTGATGCACAGTAGCCGGCTGGTTGCTTACCGGAACGATGCCCATCCGTTACCGGTATCTCAGCCGGCTTGCACCAGTTGCAATTTTCCCCTTTTTTCTGTGTATTGCGGCACAGTAGCTTTGATGTTCCCCACCTCTAGCTAACGTGTATGATGATGATGATCGTGCAATGAAGATCCCAGCTGCAGGTTTTTTGGCCACCACAAGGTTGTTTTGCCGAAATTTTCACTACTGAAAATGTCCAAGCAGTACTATCTTTACCCAGGCCAGTTGTTACTGTTTCCCTGCTACATGAACCTGTTGGACTCAGTCGGCCTCTGTTTTTGCATACACTTGCTCGGTAGGGTTTTCACGGATTATGTGATTCTTTTACAGCCCTTTGTCATTGCGGTTTCATTTACTCCTGTTTAATAGCAAACAGAATTAACTGAAGTCTTATTTCCTCATTTCTACTCAGTTTATTGTAGACTGTATTGATGTAAGTGTTTTGATTTTGATTACAAAGAAGTCTTTTGTTTTGTGTCGTGCGGACGACACTTACTGTTCCAAAATTGCAAGGCATTTAGCCGGAACCCCTGTACCGATTCCAGAAGACAGATCAAGTTGCAGGGAAACTGTTATACAATGAAAGGTTCGTTGTTGGCTTATTTATAAAAAACAACATTGTTGACGCTGCTGGCTGGAGAGAAGCAACAAACAGCACGCGGGACGATAGCGCGTTGCAACCGAAACAAGCGCCAAGTAAAGACGGTGCTTAACTCAAGCAATCGAACTCAAGTGCGGTTTCAGGAAGGCTCGCTCCTGCATCACCAACGTGCTGTTGACGCGGCACGCATGGTTGCATGTGTTGAACCGGAGGGAATCAGTAGATGTTATCTACCTTGATTTCAGTATAGCTTTCGATAAAGTGAATCATGAGATCCTCCTCCACGAGCTGAGAATGTGTGGTGTTGGTACATCAATGAGTTCCTCATTGGGAGAAAATGGAGTGTTCAGGTGGATGATCACTTAACGGAATCGTACCCTTCCACCCGCTGCATACCTCAAGGCACAATATTAGGATCCATTTTGTTTCTGATCCACATTAACAAAATACCTCAGCTTCGGTCGCCCTGCGCATTGTTTGTAGATGACCTGAAGGTTTGGACGGATATTGATTCTCCCGACGACTGTGACGTCCTACAGCAAGACCGCGACCGCCTGTCCCTGTGATCTGCCGGTCAAGTCGTCATTTATGAGTCTGGGTAAGGATGGTAATAGGCGTATGTACACCATAGACGACCAACCGCTGCATCCGACAAGCTCCGTAAAGGATCTAGGTGCACCCTCCCACTGTGATCTGAAATTCGTCGACAACACGAACAGTCTCTACGTAAATGTACTAGCCTACGTTTGGCACTTAGACGCAGCTTCTGTACTTGGTCTGAAGAGATTGCCACCTTTCTGTTCTTTTTCATGCTAAGACTGGTGCTTGAGTACAGCTCACCCGTCTATTGTCAGATTACAATAGGTGTAGTGCAGAGACTGGAACGGGTTCAGCATGTAGCTACCCGGCTCATCCTCAGTTCACTGTGTATGTTGTACGAGGACCGATGTAGGATACTAGGGCTTTATACCCTGTCATATCGTCGGCTTCGTGTCGCTCTCATAATCACGCACCGGATATTGCACCTAGGCCACTTCTCTATGTTGAGGCCGCTGCTGCACGTTCGCGCACACGCGAACACCAGTACAACCTAGTGGTACCGGATTTAGAACGTATCACTCACCATCTATGCTTTGAGCCTCGAGTGGTGACATTGAAACAATTTGCCGGAGACACTAATCGAGGCGAAATCTGTGTCGGAATTAAGGTGATTGCTCGACGTCCACTTTGCGGACTACAGGTATAGGGAGCGTGTTGCACCCAGATAAGATGCAGTGCAGCTGTATTATGCTGCCACCATGCAGGAATCAGCGACCTGATTCGTGCAGGTTCCCGATCCACCTACGATGGAGCAACACAGATTTTTATCTTCTCCCTCTATTTTCAGTATTCGGCGTGCAGTTCAACATTCCGGTCGCCTAAGTGTCAGCAATTTATACAGGACTGCTGTAGACCGTGCTGTTTCGCATTGTATTTTAGGGAGACATCAATGCAACATAAATCTTCGGATATTGATGCTGTCTGCTGGTCATTGTAACCTTCAACTAGCGTCTCTACATTACAGTTTAGTTCCCATTTGCAAGTAATTCACCCGGAACCGCGTCATTACAACGTGCTTGTTTCACGAGTGCTCTCATATTCGAGGCTTGGCTTCACCGAAAATGTTACCTTAATAAGCAGTGTATTGCCCGTTTTTTGCAATCCACACTGTTTAGTATATTAAATAATTAAACAAATATTTTATTCTCACATCTTATTGATGTATTTATGTATTGCAGCACAATAGTTGTAGTTTCTCACTTTCAGGTAATGTGTGATAATGGTGATAATGGTCCATAGCTAAGGCTCAGATTTTTCGTTTTAATGCTAGCAATATGTGACATGAACAGTCTCACATCATTAAAATATGCTTTGTCACAAAGTGTCTCGTTCGGTTGATTAAACCTATAGTGTGCTAGTGGTCCTCTAATTTCTTGCTTTCAGTGCCGCTAGCGACTCGACCTGAAACTGCTCAGTTCAGGAACGGTCATACTGGCTGAAATTCTACCATTTCTATGTTAATACCCCATTTGTGTACCTGAGATGTCTTCTGTCTACCGACATTTTAGTCCTTGCATTTTTGGATACCTGGACCACCAAGCGGACTTGTGCTGTACTTTGGGAATTTGCTTAGAGGTCTAAATCTAAGTGCTCTGCCCTCTTGCTCGATTTGATAGTGCTTCTGTCAGGTATCCACAATAGAAGCGCCTCCTAACTACTATTCTGCACATCGTCTCTGTTCGCATTCCACTGTATAATTCTCGATGTGATCTACCTATGACGAACACGTGTTTCACCCACTAGCTTTTTGCTGTAACCTGCAAGTGATCATTTGATTTTATTTGTTTCTCCATTGAATCACTCTTCTTCCCCCCCCCCCCCTTTAGGTTCGGCGATCACGGGTCCGGTTGCAAAGGAATGTGCAGATCTATGGCCAAAAATAGCGTCAACCGCCAGCTCCATACATTAATAAATTTAATAGATTGTGGAAGGTACTTATTGTTCTTCCTTCAGTTGGCCAGTATGCTGCTATTATCTACGCCACTTACGCGCACCGTGCACGTTAGATCCTTCTCGGCCAAATTGTCATAGCTGTACGCTCTGTACTTTCTGCCCCTTGCGATTCGCAGTCGCACTCTACGATATATTGTTAGGCGAAATTGTCTACGTTCGACTGGCACTCACCGCGAAAGTTTTGTTATCCACCATTTAACCTGTGTGCGACACTTGGCGCATTAGATCGTCAAACATAAAGAGATTGGTTACGTTTGACCATCGCTGCTTTCGCAGCTTAGCGCATTTCTGTTGGAAACCGCTTCAGCAATGAATGTGTTTGGCGTCGTGTATTTGGTGCGGGAAGAACGAGTGAACCACACAGCACCAATATATCACACACTAGACTCCGATGGCTGTGCCGTGTTGCTCATGTCAGCATACCGACTCTGGCGTCTTACGTTGCTTGCGCGACTGTGGTCTGGATGGAAGAGGAAGGAGGCCAGGCGATGACTTGGTCAAAAAGGAATGTAGTCCCTTACTTCGATGTTGGCTTTGGTCGGAGCCTCGGCTCCATCCTTGGAGTTTGACAGAAGAACATGTTTTGCTGGATACATTTGTTGACATGACTAGGGGTAGCATATGTGTTGTTTCTTTGTCCCTTACATTCGTCCACCTCTTCAACCACAATCTCATTTCCGACGTATAATGAAACGTGCGACACAGTAGCCGGCAGCTCGCTCTCAGGAGCGATGTCCATCTGTTAGTGGTTCTGAGCTGACGTGCTTATGTTGCGTCATTTTTCCTGTATCATGCATGGCAGCACAATAGCTGAAAAATTCCCCACCTCCAACGAACGAGTATAATGATGACACTAGTAGTTCAGCCGTCGTGCTACTAGCTTATCGCAATGCTTTCATATCTCGCTACTTTCTCATTCATGAACAATCGAGCGTATCATATATATACATATACATATATATATGTTTGGCGGCATCCGGTTTCGGATTTGCCTGTCACTGTGCCAAGCCACAGGATGCCTGCGCCTACAGAGGGACCATGGATGGCTTGCGCTGCACCAACCACATACCCCATATCCAGTGTAAACCCGAAGGAATAAGACCGGGAGGCATGCGGATGGGAACCACGTTTCATCAACGGAGCCGGCCCACACTCCTACACAGGCAAACACAAGCACGCTGTATTTGGGGAATCAAGCGCACACAAGGCGGTGGCTGGACCGTAGTCCGCTCCACACTGAGTGCATGGAACCGCTCTTTGAGACATCGGAAGTTCGGTATGCAATGCTTCTTGATAGGCCTGCCTGACCGAGGACAGACAATTTCTCCGTTGCCAATCCTAGGGGACGCTTGGTAAAGTTTATGGAGAAACGACAGCGTACCAAGGCGTGATCAGATTCGATATAGGTACTCCAGTACGAGCGGCAATCCAGGACGGAACCATGCCATATGTAACTTATGGCTGTGGTCAGTTTAGGTCCATCGCTAGCCAGCTACAGGAGGACGCCAAGTGGCACTTCGGCGCCCACTGTGTCTAAGAGCAGTGTTACTAAGAAACAACTGGTGCTCCGCACACAGTTGCAGCAGACGGTCACCGTTGTCAGTCCGTTCGGAGTTAAGCCCAGAATTACCACCCAGCTGAGCTCCTGAAGAGCTCAGACGCCCTACTTGTGCGTTCATATCCCCTGCAAGTACTATAATATCTGAACTAGTAGCACTGCGTAGTAGCGCGTTCAGTTCGTGATAGGATGTTCTTGACAGCATTAGAACTGCAGTCGGTGGGAGCATAAGCGGAAATCACAAACAGCGTTTTGTACTACTTTGTGAATCAACCTTAGCTGATGTCGTCAAACGGGCTGCACATAAACGGCTGTTCATCGGAATCCAATCAACCAACGATGGCTCAACCTTGGAGCTTAGAATGATACCTACACCAGCTTGACTCGTGAGTGCTGCATCGGCGTCTCCGGATGCGTGCAACCAATAACGAGAGGATAGGCCGGGTGCAGTTAATTCAATAACCCCGTTAGGGTCATTGATCCTAGTTTCGAACACACAACACACTTCAATACCCAGTGTGTCCAAGGTGCGTGCGAGTGCAACCTGTTGACCTGTTTGTCTTAGAGTGCGAACGTTGAATGTCTCCAAGGAAACGGGATAGCGTGCCCTTATAAGGGCTTTTGCCGATAGGTGCTGTGGGATGGTGGCTGAAGATGTTTCTACTCCAGTGGCATTTCTGTTGCTGTCAATTAAGCTGGGGATTATAGAAGGAAGGTTAGTAATGGGAGTAAGAGAAAAAGGTGGAAAAGAAAGAAGGGAGGCGCCAGCAATAGCATGTTTTCGCTTAGCCGCCCTGCTGTATGCAGCAGATAAGGCGACCCTTGATAATCTGCGCGACGGCCGATGCAGGATGAAGTTTATGTTTGAAGAAGATGTTATGGTTGTATGTGGTCTGAGATACTGCCAGGGCGCCCAGACCTAGACAGGAGGACGATTAGGGTCCTCATCCAAAGCGTTTGGCTCAAAAGCCTGTCCACAAGGCAAGCAACGAGGCTGGATCTTAACGTGGTGCGACGGTTTGCGTACCTCATTGACCTATTGAGCTATACTGGATGATGCCTCCGGGCACCTTGAGAGCTACTCCTACGAGGTTGGTCAATGGTGAGAGGTCAGAAACTCAGTCTCCTGGGTTTCAAACGAGATGCCGTCCATTTCTATAAAACTAAATCATTGCCATCTCCCCGCTGCCTTGCGGACAGGCAGGTTGGCGGCATCCGGTTTCGGATTTGCCTGTCACTGTGGCAAGCCACAGGACGCTTGCGCCTACAGAGGGACCATGGATGGCTTGCGCTGCACCACCCACAGCTCCAACCACATACCCCATATCCAGTGTAAACCCGAAGGAATAAGACCGGGAGGCATGCGGATGGGAACCACGTTTCATCAACGAAGCCGGCCCACACCTCTACACAGGCAAACACAAGCACGCTGTATTTGGGGAATCAAGCGCACACAAGGCGGTGGCTGGACCGTAGTCCGCTCCACACTGAGTGCATGGAACCGCTCTTTGAGCCTAGCACGGCCACAAGAACCGTGCACCCCGTCCCCTCCAGCAACGACCAACTGTCTCCTGGAGCCAGTATGAACGATGTAGTGGGTAATAGATAGGTAGGCACCTTGTCAACATACACATCAAGCGCAACCATACCAGGGATATCGAACAACAGCCATTCACTTTAAACGACAAGCTGAAATAAAATAAATCCAATAATGCATACAAATACGGTGGCATAACTCTTCGCTAAATTACCATATGAAGTAATTTGGTTAGCAACAAATCCGTGAAAAGTAAGAAACGTCCACCAGTTACTTAAAATGCTACAAACGCAACAAAATTACCGAAGATAAGCGCAATTAGTGTAAGCAACGTGGCCAGTTAATAGAACATTATTCAGGGAGGCAGAACAAACCAAATAAAGCGGAATGAAATTTATCCAGCTTAAAAAGACCTAGTTTAAGTGTAAGTTGGTTTAGCCCAACTGCGGTGAAGAAGCATCAAGAATGCAATATCAGCCTCAGCATGGGGCACACATACATACATGGTTGGCGGCATCCGGTTTCGGACATATATATATATATATATTATATATATATATATAAAATCATCAACCATTTGAACTGGTGCTTCGCTGCCATACAACCATGAGCACCTATGAAATAAAGAATGAGAAGTGGGACTTACCTGAAAACCTTAATGCCCTAAGCAAACATTCAGGGTCAAGGCGCCTACACCTTGTGTAGACAACATACCGTCACAAACAGCTGGCTATCGTGCAGAGATAAGGCGGCATCGGCGAGACAGCTTCCTTGCGGCTTTCACTGCCACGCGTCATAATCAGCCATTACCCCGCAGATAACTCAGCATCAAACACACTTTAAACAGGCAATCCAATTAGGAGACGGTAGCAGACGCGCCACTAGTATCGGTTGCGAGCCATGTCCTGCAAAGTCTCCAGCCAAACATAAGGCGAGTCACGTGGACACCAGCCCGGAAGGTGAGGCGGACCAATGGCACCCAGTTTGGTCGCCAGTGACTTCATTTCCCGCTGCCAAGTCAACTTCTGTCCACCTCGAGCCTTCCGCCATTTTACACCTGGTAGACTGAACAAGGTCCTCCTAGGTAAGCGGTGACCAGGCATACGTAGCACGTGCCCGAGCCAACGCAACTTATTCAGTGCTATTTGTTGTTCTAGGAAGTTAGCCTGCTTATCACTATCTGGTACTCGCCTACGCACATCATCGTTGCGGACACGCTGGTGCCATCCGACTCCAGCAATGCTTCGCAGACAACGATGATCAAAGACTTTAAGGCGCCTCAGACCGAAGGGGCCAAGTTCCATTACCATAGAGCAGAACGGCCCTCACTGTGGCCTTGTATACCCGGCCTTTCAGACGGAGGGAAACTCCCTTCTGTCGCCAAAGATGACGCAGGTTCACGAAGCTAGCTCCGGCTTTTGCAATGCCTGAGCTGACGTCAGTTTCTATGCGCTCATCATTGCTGATGCAGCTGTCAAGATAAGTGAAATGATCAACCACCTCGAGTTCCTCGTTAGCAAGTGTCAAGGGGTCATCAAGTGGCTGGTGGTCCTGCAGCAACACTTTGCACTTTGAAGGTGCGAAGTGCATACCAAATAATGGGACCGCTCTGGACACGCTATTCAGGGTTGATTGTGCCGCCCCAACATCGTCGAAAAGCAAGACGATATCGTCCGCATAATCTAGATCAACTAACCTTTCATCAGGCAGCACTTCAACGCCTACATCGTGAGATTCCGCAAGGGAACACTCCATGATAGAATCCACGACGAAATTGAACAAAAATGGGGAAATTGGACAACCCTGACGAACGCCACTTGTGGTCGGAAAGCTATCCGATACGACATCGTACACCCTGACGCGGCCTGTAGTGTTCCAGTATAGAG